AAAAAAAAAAAAAAAAAAAGACGTATCTCCTATGATTCTAAGAAAGCCAAAGTCATTCTCAATCTTTTCATTCCCTTGAACACTTTTAAAGGCCTTGATCTAAAACCACAAAGGTATCATAAGGTGTGTGCGTCCAAGTTCATGCATTCTACAATCCAGTTGAGATGAGACTCAGTGTTTAAACAAAATAAGCGTAATAAAATAAGCAACAGAAATTTTCTTGAGCTTACTAGATGTTGAAACCAAAAGAGGAAATATACTATCTGAGTTGAAATAAAGAGATAATTATAATAATAGCAGATATTATTGAGTGCTATGATAAGGACTTCTTACATATTAACTCGTTTTTTTTTTTCTGTTAAATAACTGGATCAGATAAGTTCAATTTTATAGACAGTGAAACTGAGATACAATGAGCTGAAGAAACTTGTCTGTGGACCCACAATTAGTAAGTGGCAGAGAGAGGAAGGACAAAGACAGAGGAAATCTTCAGCAAATAGAAGGCCTCTGGCAACTTTTCTAAGCCACCAGCAGCGCCTCCTACAAACACCTGAGCCTCCACAAGGGAGGACCATTACTGCTCCCAGATCTTAGCTGGAAAACAAGTCCACTGACTTCCTGAACAAATAGCCCTGCAAACGTCAATGAATTGTAAACGTAGCATGAAAAGGTAGTTTTTTCCTTTGTGCTCACTCTAAATGTATTTATTTTTTAAAAGATAATGTATAGTATTTACTATATCAGATAAACATTTCTTGATAAGTACAGTAGAGATAATAGGCTCAGCTAAAGTGATCGGTACTGTTTCATAAACTGGAATTCTTGGAACAATTTAATATAGCAATAAAACGTTTGTTTCTAAAGCCGGTGAGACTTGGCACAGGTAGGCTGTTCTACAAGGAGCTGAGGTGGAAAATCAGCTGGTGTCCCTGGTTGCCATAGAGACCCAGGATACATTTATCTTATTATTCCAATGACTGCTACTCTCCTCCTCGTTGTCTGATTTCATCCCACCAAATTGTCCTTCCTCTTACCCATCAGTACACCTTACTTTAAACAAAGACAAAGTACTGTAGAAAATTTTCTCAAGACGATATTGTCTCCTAAACATAGTTTAAAATGCACATGAGAGTTTTCTATCTGGACAAATCTTAATGAATCCTTTTAGAGAGTTACCAATTATTTGTAAATAACTTACACTTTATTTGTTTTTTAAAAAACATTGCACGTTTACTTATGTAGATTTGCCTAGACTAAGGAAATTCATAATCTCCTAGTTTTAATTTCAGCCTATGGTTAAATTAGGAAGATTTCATGAATTTGGGACTTAATAGATCTGAAACACCAAGTCACTCAGACAGCAGGAGAATAACCTGATCAATCTACTTGTAATAAAAACAAAAATATGTTAAAAGAAAAATCTCACTGTGCACAGTGACTCACGCCTGTAATCCCAGCACTTTGGTAGGCCAAGGCAGGTAGATCACTTGAACCCAGGAGTTTGAGATCAGCCTGGAATACATAACAAAACCCTGTCTCTATAAAAAACACAAAAATTAGCCGGGCGTGATAGCGCAAGCCTGTAGCCCCAGCTCCTCAAGAGGCTGACCTAGGAGGATGACCGTGCCTGGGAGGCAGAGGCTACAGTGAGCTCAGACTGAGCCACTGCACTCCAGCCTGGGAGACAGAGGAAGACCCTGTCTCAAAAAAAGAAAGAAAAAAAAACCTTAGCCAAATTAAATTTAACAGAGTAACTAAGCAAAGAACAATTCACGAATCAAGCAGCCTCCTGAGCCAGAGTAGGCTCCGAAAGACTCCAGTGAAGCTACAGGAAGGAAGATTTACAGAAAGTAAAAGGAAAGTGATGTCCAGAAAACTAAAATGAGGAACAGAAACAGCTGTATTGGTTGCAGCTTGGCATTTGCCTTATTTGAACACGGTTTGAACAATTTGATCAGCCCCTTTGATCAGCCAAAACTGTGTGATTGGCACAGGAGTAGGTTACAGTTTGTTTACACCTCCATTTAGGTTATGGTTCACTGCGTACAGAGAAATCTTTAGGTTGAACTTAAAATATGTAAGGAGTTGATTTATATACTGTTAGAAGCATAACAATATATTGTCTTTTAATATATGAACTATTTACACAGATAAAATCATGAAGGTGGTATAAAAATTCACCTTAAAAGTATAACTCAGATGGGGCCAGGTGTGGTGGCTCACGTGTGTAATCCCAGCATTTTGGGAGGCCAAGGTGGGTGGATTACTTGAGGTCAGGAGTTCAAAACCAGCCTGGGTCACATGGTGAAACCCCGTCTCTACTAAAAATACAAAAATTAGCCAGGCCTGGTGGCACATGCCTATAGTCCCAGCTACTCAGGAGGCTGAGGCATGAAAATTGCTTGAACCCGGGAGGCAGAGGTTGCAGTGAGCCAAGATTGCACCACTGCATTCCAGCCTGGGTGACAGAGCGAGACTCAGCCAAAAAAAAAAAAAAAGTATCACTCAGATGGTTCCCAGGAAAATCAAGGAGATGTTTTCTTCTCTTTCAAGCCAACATAAATTATCTAAGGCAGTGACCCGACAGGTGAAGACCTATTTACAAAATTCCTTTAAAAGTTGTATTTCAGAATCACAAAGAAAATGGAAGCTCACAATGTGAATAACTAATGTTTTCAAATTTTTTTTATAAGACGAGGAAAAGGAAAACATAGTTTAGCCTCTTTCAAATAGTGTTTTGAATGCTGTAGGGATAAAAGGAACTTTCTTTCCACCTCTGGAAGTTTTGATAATTTGAGTCTACAAAACAAACTGATTAACAGGAGAAAAGGCATGCCAACAGATTGATGTGGAAGCATGCAGAGAGTCACACAAAGTATGAAACTCAGAGAAGGGCCGGATGCTTGGAGCCTAAATATCCTCTTCATAGAGGAAAGAGAAGTAGGGAATGATGGTACTTTTAGAGGAAGAGTAAATGATTTTTAGGGGAAATGAAGGGGCCTGAAGAACAGACAATAGCCTTGTAACTGTAACAGGTTCATCACCCAGTGCAAGTCAGTTAGCCAAGACACCAAGTTGCAACAGAGAAAGAGGTTTGATCATAGTGTCACAAAACAAGGAGATGGGAGGAAACCTCAAATCCATCTCCCCGAGGAGTTTGGGGCTAGGGGTTTTAAGGGTCTTGGAGTGGGCAGAAGTGTGGAGATCATTAACTGGTTGAAGAGTGCAGGGTGAAGCTATTGGACAGAGACATGAAGAAGCTGTGTTCTCATGCTGATCCCATTCCTCTGTGGGGGGTCTTCAAACTGGTTGCTGGAATTCAGGGTCTGAAAAACATCTTAATGATCCTTAAACAAAAGCCCTGTGATGTGAATGTCAGAGATCCTGTCTGTAGGAACAATGAGAATATAAATGGTCTGTATCTGCTGCTATGTGACTTTTAGCCACAAGGAAATGAGACAAAGTGCAGCCTTATTAATGCTTAATTGTCACCATATTTCTGTCCAGAATCTGGTATACAATTCTTGTCAACCCTGTGGGGGCAGTTTCAGCCTGGGGTAAGGTTCATCTGAGTGCCCTTCGATGAGCCAAAACTCCATGATTTGCACAACAGTAGGTTACACAGTCTGTTTACATTTCCATTTAGGTTATAGCTCACTATGTACAGAGAAATCTTTAGGCTGAACTTAAAATATGTAAGAAGTTGATTTATATAAATGTCTATATATAACAAAAGCCATATTGGGAAGGCTGATCTTTACCATGTGTTATAATCCATATTTCATTCTCAATCTTAAACCAGCAAGTCTGGGCACACTGCTAAATTGCAGAAAAGTTTCAGGATCTTTAACGGAGTTGGTGCGGTGTCAACTCTAGTGTTCCTTCCTGGGAGTTAATCTTCTCTATGAGATTGCATTTCTTCTGGAAACTTCAGAGAAAGTCCCTACCTGTGCTTCAGGGGAGGCAGAGGG